TAATGAAGAAACCAGAACTTTACAGAATCATATAAGCATATGGCCAAAATAATGTCAAATGACCCTGAGGGTACACTACACTCGTGATTGTTCACAAAAAAATTAAATCCTATAAAGTTTATTCAGGAATGGAGATATGATTTATATAGTAAATACAAATCTCATTTTCTCCCTAGCCATTGCTTTAGTCACCTTCCCATTTGTAATGGCACCCAGTAGATTCAAATGTTAATTGTGTTTGGCTTATTCCTTTAGTTGTGTACAACAATCATATCATAAAAATACTTGTCTAAATTCAACAACTAATTTTCCAGAAGGAGCTCATAATGAAAAACTGTCTTTTCAATCCCTCAAGATAAGCGGCATCTTCAAATTCTGGTTGGATTTTAGGGTGTTTAATGGTGGCTTATTTAGTTTTCTTCAATAGCTTTTCACTGCACATTGCTGTAAGCATTTATTCAACTTTCATCACCTGTGATCATTTTTTGAAAAGAATAATGTCGGTTTTGTTGCTTTTTGAGCAGCGAATTGCAAATAGAAATGTGGTGCGTCAAATCTTTCCTAGTAAATTGTCAAGAACCCAGACATAGAAGTGATTCATGATTCACAATGCCTTACAATGCCGTACAATGCCTTACAATTCTCATGCAGGACATGTGGGGTAAGAAGATTATCTACACATTTCCCATTTGCAAAGACATACAATGTACTTTTAATATCAAATGCTGTTGGTACTATAAAAACATGTACTACCTGCTGCATAATTGGGTCATCAGTCACTAAACCATTTCTTTCATATTTTCTGGTATGGAGAGTATCTAAACAACGAAACGGATTATATGAAAATCTGTCAAAGAGCAGAGAAACATTCTTGTAGGGTTAATAGTAATCTAGCACAATGTTTCTCAACTGGTATGACCATACACACTAGTGCACCTTGAAAGGTAATCAGTTGCATCCCAACTTAACAGGATCATCTACCCATGCAATCTATATAAAAAATTCTGTGAATTCTGTTGGTCAGTCCGTTATCACCCTCTAAAATAGCCATACAATGACTGATTGAAACCAAATTTTGGGGAGACGGGCAAACAGTACTACAAAGTACTAAGGTGTGTAGCTCAGTATAATAAATTTTCATTCATTTTTTTTTAAATTAAAAATTTTAATATTTAACATAGAAAATACTCCCAGTATTTTAAAAACGATTTAATGATTAAAATAACAAATACTTATTTAATAAAAAATACAATATTGTTTTTTGCATATCTTTTATTTAAGTTTTTATATAGATTTCATTTTAGTAAAATATAATTCACATTAGTTGCACTGTAAATATAAACACGTTATGGAGAGTTTCAAATGGGCAGAGGAACTTCAAAAATATTGTTGTGAGGATATTGTTAAATACTATGAGGATTTCATCACACGCCATCATGTTGCAAAAATTTCTAGTAAATAAAAAATGGAGCATCTATTTAAAATACAAAGTATCCACTATAATAATTTCTTAAAAAATATAGCTATGTACGCAGCCAGCATTATGATCATACAACATAGCTTGGAGCAGGGCTTCCTGGACTTAATTCAATGAACAACATGAAGGGTTCTCTCAATAGAATGAATGATCACATGCACATGACCAAACCAAATTGGAGGACATTGTCTTTGGTTTAACCTTGCAAATGATGGGCTCCATCAGGTTTACTTGCCAAAGACATAATATACCTGAATGACTTTTAAGCAAGATTATGTGATGAAAACTGGTCAGGTGTGCAGCTGCAAAGTGACACTATGATCCTACCTGGCCATGGGACTGGTGATCGTTAGTTAACTGATGTGAGCAATGACAAACTTCTTGAAACAATGGGGATAAAAAGGACCCTACATATGCTTAAAATCATGAAGAGACAGTTGAAATTTCTGGATCACCTAATTAGGAAAAAGAACTTGGAAAATTTGATACCCACAAAACAGATTGACGGTAAAAGAGCTAGAGGAAAGCAATGCACAACCTCACTGGCATGCTTGAGCAGATTTAGGCTTAGGAGAGATGACAAAAGCATAAGAGCTATAAAAGACAGGAAATTGTGGAGATCCATGTTCACCAACGTCTTGAAGTGATGCAGCACATAGAATAATATTAGAGTCTGTCTATATTTCTGAGATGAGGTATTATGTACAGTATTTACATTATTGTCGGATTTATTGTCCTCATCTGTCTATATTTTTGTCGCCATATTTGTCGGACTATTGTCCTCAACGCCATATTTTCAACGTTTCGGCCGTTGTACGCTCCGGCCTTCTTCAGGTGGTAGGAATTTCGAACTGAACCCTTTATTTCGATCGATAAGGATAAGGATCGTTAGATAAGGAATTGGTCAGTATAAGTAGTACCCTACAACGTAACAACTACCCTGGGTACATGGCAGCAGCCCCAAAAAACTGGGATAGGCGGGTACAAGAGGAGGGGGAGGACAACAACACTCAGAAAACAGTCTGCCTGCCTTATGTGAAGGGGTTATCAGAGAAAATACAAAGGATCTGCGGTCCATATAACATCAGGACAACCTTCAAAAGCATGACAACACTTCGCAGGTATCTCTCACAAGTGAGAACCCCCACAGAGAGGAACATGACTAAAGACTGTGTGTACGCTATCCCATGCAGCTGCGGAAAGGAATATAAAGGAGAAACAGGCCGCCCCCTCAAGGTAAGGCTTCAAGAACACCAGAAAGCTGTAACGAGAGGGGAAGTAGAAAAATCAGGCGTGGCTGACCACGTATGGAGAGAGAGGGAGATCACTGCCCCCTGTGGGATCATGTTGAAATCATAGATAGGGAACACCATTGGAAAATTCGTAAACTTAAGGAATCAGCACATATGCTAGGCCACAAAAATCTCCTGAGCCAACCAAGCATAGAAATAAATACAATATGGGAACCAGTAATAAGGAGTGCCAGAGAAAAGCAATGATAACAAAGTTGCAATATGAACTCTGGTAAAGACATGCAATGATAACAACAAAAATTGCAATATGAGCACTGGTAAAAATGATGCTGAAAACATTAGGTTTATAATACTCAGAAGTTCATACCCAGATGGACAAGAACACATGGCACTGTGGATAAAGGTGTTGGTTAGATCCAGTGACAGACCCAAAGAGGGTGAGTTCAATTCCTTGTTAAGGCAGTGGAGAACTTTCAGAGAGAAAATTAGCAGGAGATAACTGAAAACTGACATCCATCAAAACATGGCACGTGGAACTAGAACAGTCTACCCCAGTGATCGAAATAAAGGGTTCAGTTCGAAATTCCTGCCACCTGAAGAAGGCCGAAGCATACAACGGCCGAAACGTTGTGACAAATATGGCGACAAAGATGAGGACAATAGTCCGACTAATGTAAATTCTGTAGAATAAGATTAATTTGTTTTTTTTTTCAACTTATCAACCATTTGCAGGTTATTTAAAGCCGGGAAACACTTTTAGATTGTAAGATTTTTTAGGAGATAATAATGATTTAGTGACACAAAATTTAACCTATCAGGAGGGGGATAAGAGATAGATTCATATCTTCCCTGAGTTTATTTGCACATAAGTGAATATCATAAAACCCAACTGGAATTAGAACTCGGATCTCCAGTTTCCTATTCTGAGCCATTATCCATTACACCACCATCAAATCCAAGTTTACAGACTACAGCACCTGTTATTCTCAACTGGTCACCCATCTTAATCTAATTGATTGTACGGGAACTGGTGTGATATGTCTGTTAGCCTGACAGATGATGATGCTGATTGTACTGTATAAAAAGTAATAAAAAAATAATGAAGATTTTACAATATCTGACTTTTTTTCTTTTCATTGTTATAAACATTTGTAATTGAACTTTGTACCTTAATAGTATCAGTCAAGTAGGACACCATTGGTGCCAACCACATGGTAAGTGTAAAATGAGACAGGAAGATAAGTCACGAGGTATGCAGCAAAGTTGGACTAAAAAATGTGATTGGCTCTTGGGTGTACAAATATAGAACTATAAATGTATAAAGGAATGAAAGTCAAATTACAATGTTTTTTTTTTTATCTGATTGTCTGGGAATATCTTGCTTTTTTTCCTCTCTTTTCTTTTTCATCAATTGGGGAAAGAGAAAATAAAATAAACAACTTGTGTACAAAGAGATAGCAATAAAGAAACGAAAAAGCAAGAAAGAATGCAACAAGAAAAATATGAACAAATAGAGGGGAGGTAATTAGAAAGAAAGAAAGAAAGAAAGAAAGAAAGAAAGAAAGAAAGAAAGAAAGAAAGAAAGAAAGAAAAAGAAAGAAATTAATTTAAATAAAAGGAGGAGAAAGAAAGAAAGAAAGAAAGAAAGAAATTAATTTAAATAAAAGGAGAAGAAAGAAAGAAAGAAAGAAAGAAAGAAAGAAAGAAATTAATTTAAATAAAAGGAAGAAAGAAAGAAAAAGAAAGAAAGAAATTAATTTAAATAAAAGGAGGAGAAAGAAAGGAAGAAAGAAAGAAAGAAAGAAAGAAAGAAATTAATTTAAATAAAAGGAGGAGAAAGAAAGAAAGAAAGAAAGAAAGAAAGACAGAAAGAAAGAAAGAAAGAAAGAAAGAAATTAATTTAAATAAAAGGAAGAAAGAAAAAGAAAGAAAGAAATTAATTTAAATAAAAGGATGAGAAAGAAAGAAAGAAAGAAAGAAAGAAAGAGAAAGAAATTAATTTAAATAAAAGGATGAGAAAGAAAGAAAGAAAAAGAAAGAAAGAAAGAAATTAATTTAAATAAAAGGAGGAGAAAGAAAGAAAGAAAGAAATTTAAATAAAAGGACAAGAAAGAAAGAAAGCAGAATCAAATAAAAGACAGAAATGAATGATCATAAATGAATTAGGAAAGAAAACGAAGAAAAGAGAGGGCATAAATGAATAAGAAAAGAAAAATGAAGAGAAAAATGAAACAGAAAGAAAAACAAAAAAGAAAATGAAAAAAAAAAAGTCAAAAAATGAATGTAGGTGAAGGAAAAATAGAAATATATGAACAAATACAGGTAGATAGGTCGGTAGAAAGAAAGAAAGAAAGAAAGAAAGAAAGAAAGAAAGAAAGAAAGAAAGAAAACGAGAAAAGAGAAGTCAAAAAAGAAAGAAAGACCAGGGGAGAATGGAATAAAAAGAAAAGAACAATCATGAATAAATTAAGATGGAAAAAGAAAAAATTAGGAAGCTACGTGAATAAAGAAAGTGAGAATGAATAATGAAAGAGAAAGAAAGAGGGTGAATATAAGTGAATAAAGAAAGAATAAATGATGAAAAATGAGGTAAAAAAGCAAGCAGTAATGAAAATAAAAGAAAGAAAGAAAAAAATGACCATTTAGAAACTTCAGATACACTCATCAGTTTGGGTCCTTGTGCTAAACAATGAAGAATTTACAAAATAAAGAGAAATAATCTGAAGGAACATTTTCTTGTTTGTTGCTCTTTGGTGCTAAGTCCATCTACCTGAAAATCAAAGAAGAAGAAAATGAGAAGATAGCTACCCTGCTAGACATTAACAGTTTGTGGGGCCTGAGATAGATAGATAGATAGATATTAACAGACTAGAATAGATAGATAGATAGATAGATAGATAGATAGATAGATAGATATTAACAGATAACAGATATATAGATAGATAGATAGATATTAACAGATAACAGATAGATAGATAGATAGATAGATAGATAGATAGATAGATAGATAGATAGATAGATAGATAGGGAAACAAAATGGCTATTTTTGTAGTGATTTTATAAAATGCATATGTTATAATTTTGAATAAATGTAGATAGATAGATAGATAGATAGATAGATAGATAGATAGATATTAACAGACTGGGATAGATAGATAGATAGATAGATAGATAGATAGATAGATAGATAGATAGATATTAAAAAAACTGGGATAGATAGATAGATAGATAGATAGATAGATAGATAGATAGATAGATTTGGAAATACATTGATAAATTAATTGATTGATATGAACAGCCTGTGAAAAATAGATAGATGACAACTAACAACCATAGATAGATATAGACATATAGAGATTAACAAGAACATATTGAGATAGATAGAAATTAACTACGAAAGCAACAGATTGATGAAGACCAATTGATAAAAACCAACATGGATGAGATCGAATGTCCCCTGAGAAATAACAAGATAAAAAGTATAACATATTAAACAGACTTTCTTTTATTATCTCCCTTTGATGCCCTCTCCTGTTCTTTTTAGCCCCATGACACGAATCAACATCCAAACAGTTTTCAATCAGATGTAAAACTAAACTGTATCAGTTTCTTTGCTTTCTCCCCTTAACAAGGACTATTTCATTTCTGGAGGCCATATCAGTTAAATAACATTATTCCAATGAAGTTTTAGATCATGCTAGTTTTAAGATGGCATGTGTGCCAATGGTCCGGTAATGATTTGTCATGCTCATAAAAAGCAAGGACTTTTTTCTTTCTTTCAGGCTATTATGTGACCATAAAATGTACAAATGAAATGAGCTTGCTAGAAAATTGCTTGATATCATTGTCCGCTTGATGCTGTCCTCTCTGCTTGATCTTTGTTGATTCGTATGACCAAATCCTACTGACCAGACATTGAGATATCATTTTCATCAATGACTCATTCGATCTGTTTTGACTTATTTGCTTTACTCTTTGTTCTGAGAATAATTTAATATTTTTTGTCAGTATGTACATCAGTTCTGTGATGAAAATCTCTTGTTCCACTCAACAAGTTCACTACCTATATAGGTATATGCTGAGTACTTTGTTATGGTATGGCTTGCCTCACTAGATCAATTATGACTGAGTAGTGACTTCAATCCTCACTAGGTGAACCTTACTTTTGGCCTTCTGCCACATCTAAGCTATGCTTATGAAATTTGTATATAGGTATATTTATAGAAAATAAAGCATATTTCCAATACAAGTTCACATATATACTGTATTAAAATCATACTGAAACTTAATTTTCTACCCAATAAGAAACAATATTTACAAACATGCCAAAAAAGATTTCACAATACAATACACATAGATTAAAACAAAGTGTCTGTTGGTTAGAAATATTTGACCAATCAGTGAAATATTTGACCAATCAGTGAAATATTTGACTAATCAGTGAAATATTTGACCAATCAGAGAAAACTAAAAACATATTTTCTCGAGTCTACTTTCAGGAAAAAATTTTTATGGAAACCTACAGATTTTGACTTTTAGCCAGAGATGTGACTGTCATCAAGCCTGGGGTGAAACGATTAAAAAGATGACTTTTTATCTGTATCAGTCTCTTTATCTATCTATCTATCTATCTATCTATCTATCTATCTATCTCAGTCTATATATATCTCAGTATCAATCAGAGTCTGTTCATCTCACTCTCTAATAACTTCTGTTCATTATTCATCTATCTATCTATCTATCTATCTATCTATCTATCTATCTATCTATCCGAGTCTGTTCATTCATCTATATATCTATATCTTAATCTATTCATATCATTATCTATCTATATCTATATCTATCTATCTATCTATCTATCTATCTATCCGGAGTATCTATCTATCTATATCTATCTTTATCTTAATCTATTCATATTCATCTATCTATCTATCTATCTATCTATCTATCTATCTATCTATTCTATTCATATCTATTCCAGTCATTTTCAGTCATTATTATCTATTTATATCTTAATCTATTCATATCTATCTATCTATCTATCTATCTATCTATCTATCTATCTATCTATTCATATCTATTTCATTCATTTTCTATTTATCTGTCTTTTTCATATCTATCTATCTATCTATCTATCTATCTATCTATCTATCAGTCTATTCATATCTATTCCAGTCATTTTCTATTTATCTGTCTTTTCATATCTATCTATCTATCTATCTATCTATCTATCTATCAATTTCAATTTGTTCATATGCATCTATCTTAATTTCACTCTCAGTGTTTCTCTTTCTGTCTCTCTCTGTCTAAAATGTCAATATTAATTCTTATTATATCTAAAAGTACATTCCATTCTGTTTGTATCGCTTTACCTAGTAACATACATTTCTGCGATTACCTCGCTCTTTTTATATCTATGTAAGTTCAATCATATCTAGCACTGTTTATATTTGACTCTTGATTAAGCCACTCAAACCTTTTACCCATCATCCTCTTCCCAATGCATGCAATAGTCTCCAAGACATTTTATTAATAATCTCGACCCCAATGAACAAATTGACCTCCTCCCAAATAACCAATAAAGACCCATGAATTAATTTTCAATGTAATTTTCCTTCCAGCAACACCAATGTACCTTTCAACAGACGACAGTAACCAACGCAGTAGAAGTAGACAAATAATTTGCGACAAATTTCCTAATATCACTTTATTGATAATAAATAATATAAAAAGGCAAGTTTGCTTTTCCTTCTCATGATATATTACTCGCTGATTATTTTATCGTTTTGAGGCAAGAAACAGTGAAAGAAAGAAACAGTGTTAATATGGCCATTTCCTTGGTCAGTCATGGTCAGCTTTTGGAATACGAGAGAACAAATTTGACCAAATATGACCCTTTAAAGCATAAATGAAATTGCATTATCTATCTACCTATCTATTTATTTATCTATCTATCTATATTCGTTATCTATCTATCAAAATTTGTTTATATATCTATCTATCTGTGTATTATCTATCTATCTATCTATCTATCTATCTATCTATCTATCTATCTATATTTATTATCTGTTGATCTCACTATTTATATTATTCGGACATTTGTCCTCATCTTTGTCGCCATATTTATTATGTTTCAGCCATTGTACGCTCCAGCCTTCTTCAGATGTTTGGAATGTTGAATTGAACCCTTTATTTCACTCATTGGTGTGGATTGTTCTAGTTCTACTTGCCATGTTTAATGGATGTCAGTTATCAGTTATCTGATATATATATATATATATATATATATATATATATATATATATATATATATATATATAAATCAGTCATTTATCTATCTATCTACCTATATCAATCTGTTTATATCTATCTGGTTCTGTTCATTTTCTATCTACATCAATCCGTTTATATATATCTCATATCAATATGTGTATTGCTATGTATCAATCTATCTATGTTCATAATCGATCAAAATTATCTATCTGTCTGTTGAAGAAAGTTGAAAAAATATCTATCACAGTCTCTAATTTTGTATCTGTCTGTTCATATCTCTCTGTTCATTTCTCTTTCTATCTATCTATCTATCTATCTATCTATCTATCTATCTATCTATCTCATTCTGTTCATATCTCATATCTGTCTGTGTATTGCTTCAAATTATTCTATGTTCATTTTTCTCTTAATAAATTATGTCAAACTGTTCATACCTATCTCTCTGTTCATTTCGCTTTCTTTCTTTTCATTATCTATCTAGCAAGCTAGCTATCTCATTTTGTTTATATATATCGCATTATCAACCTCAGTTTGTTCATATCTATCTCTGTCTGTTCATCTATCTATCTATGTATCTCAGTTTGTTAATTTCTCTTTCTCTCTGTTCATTATCTATCTATCTATCTATCTATCTATCTATCTATCTATCTTTCTATCTATCTATCTCACTAGCTATCTCATTCTATTTATATATATATATATATATATATATATATATATATTTATCACTCTGTTCGTCTCTCTATCTACTTTTGTTCATTATCTATCTAATTTAGACTAGACTATTTATTATTCTATCTACTTTAGACTGTTCATATATATCTATCTTTGCTCATTTTTCTCTTCAATAATTATTTATCTATCTATCTCAGTCTATTCATTTCGCTTTCTCTGTTCATTATCTATCTATCTAACTAGCGAGCTATCCCATTCTGTTTATATCTATCTCACTATCGACCTCAATCTATTCATCTCTCTCTCTCTGTCTACTTCTATTCATTATCTATCTATCTATCTATCTATCTATCTATCTATCTATCTATCTATGTAGCTAGCTAGCTATATATATATATATATATATATATATATATAGTCATGCACAGACAGAATGTTTTGCTGTATCACAGCTCTTCAATGTGGCTAGACATGATTTCTTCAAGCCGGCATTGAAACTTGACTGATTTGAGATTAGTCAAAGACTATTACCCTAAGGCTATCAGTTCGCAATATGGAGAAAGGGAATTTTAATGCATTATATTCATGATATAAGCATTATCAGCTACCAGAGTGCTCTATTCATTGCAAAGAGCTTAGATATAAATCCATCCATTTATATATAGATATATTATATATATCTGTGTATCTCTATCTTTCTATTCATCTATATCAATTTGTTTATATAAATATATATATCAGTCTGTTCTTTATCTATTTATTATCAATCTATCTATATCAATCCATTTATATCTATCTCATTCTGTTCATATATATCTTGTATCTATCTGTGCATCTATCTCAGTCTGTTCATGTCCATCTCTGTTCATTTCTTTTTCTCTATAACTCTATCTATCTACCTATCTATCTATCTATCGATGCTCATAATCTATCAAACTTATCTATATTTCACAGACAGTTTATATCTGTCACAGTCTCTTAATATGTATCTCAGTTTCTTCATATCTATCTGTTAATTTCTCTCTGTATATATCTCTGGTCCCTATCTATTTACCTATCTCAATTTGTTCATATATATCTTAAATCTATCTGTGTATTGCTATCTATATATCTATCTATCTACCACAGACTGTTAATATCTATGTTCATTTTTTCTCTCCAATAATTATATATCTATATCAGTTTTTATATATATATATATATATATATATATATATATATATATCTATTTCAGTCTGTTCTTATCTGTCTCTCTGTTCATTTCTTTCTCTCTCTTTCTGGTCATTATCTATCGATCTCATTCAGCTCATATCTATCTCAGTAACGATCCTTGTCTGTTCACATCTATCTCTGTCTATCCATCTCTCTATCTGTTCATTATCTATCTATCTATCTATCTATCTATCTATCTATCTATCTATCTATATATATATATATATATATATATATATCAATCAGTTTATATATATCCCATATCTGTGTATCACTATTTATCTATGTCAGACAATTTTTTATCTATCTCTGTCTTATAATATCCACCTCAGTTTATTCCTTATCTATCTATCTATCTATCTATCTATCTATCTATCTATCTATCTATCTATCTCTGTTCATATCTCTGTCCATTTTCTTCCTCTCTCTTTGGTCCTTATGTCTCTCTCTCTCTCCCTCTCCCTCTCTCCTCTCTCTCTCTCTCTCTCTCTCTATCTATCTATCTATCTATCTATCTCAGTTTATATCTGTCTTAGTATTGATCTTAGTTACCCTACCCCAAACAAAAGTCAATGAAGAAAACCCCCAACAATACCAGAAAGCCCATTAACAGCTACTGGACTTAGGAAAACTAAACATTGTGCAATCATTATCTGAATTCAGATCTTTCAAAAATCGGGGTTGCATAAGGCTTCACCACTGTAATCAAATCAGGTGTGGGTAGTTCTAAGAACTGAGATGCTGGAACCTCATTTATCAAAAACAAGGGGGGAATCTTCCTTCTCTCTCTCTCTCTCCCTATCTCCCTCTCTTTCTCTCTCTCTCTCTCTATATATATATATATATATATGTGTGTGTGTGTGTGTATGAAATTTTCATACCAACATCAATATTAATGGTGGTATGAGTCAGAAAGATGAAAAGTGTTACGACAAAAGATAAAAAGAGTCGATATTTGATACATGGCTTCCCGTGGAAAAGTTAAGCCACAACAGACGATTTGGCATCATTAATGTCAAGATAGGACGAATGGTTCAGTAATCCATATATTACCGCTATCGATATCTCATGTTGTATCATTTTTTTTATTTATTATTTCCTGTATATTAAGACCCCTCACATATATACATAAGAGTACTAAAATGTTCTTGCTTTCTTAAGAAGACATTCCCCAAAATTCTGATGCTGGTCATATTTTGAGACAAAGATTGGGTTGAGAAATTTTCATCATGTACTCCACCACTCTCTCTCTCTCTCTCTCTCTCTCTCTCTCTCTCTCACTCGGCATGGCTTCCCTCTGTCTTTTCTAAAAAAAATATTTTAATGGCAACTGCTCTAACAAGGTTTTTTAGCTAGTGCTCTGCCGACATGCCTACATCATATGTTCCACTCTGAAAGTTTCTTTTCCCGCACTTTCCCCCTCTTTACTTGCATCCCTGATAACTACAATCTTAAAAAATTTAAATGTAATGTCAATCGCCATCTTCTAACTTCTGGAGTCCTCTCCATCTTTTATCGTTTCTTCAATCACCCCCTATACTCAGTCTTTTCTCTCACTTTCACTCCCTGTAACCCCTTGCGTACTAGTGACATTCCAACCTTGTTTGGCATGAAATGATTAAAATATATATGCACACACACACACACACACACACACATATAGTGTGTAACGGATAAGTTGTTGCCTAGATTACGCAAAGATCAAAATAACACTGACATCTCATTTTAACATATATTTACCAAAATTACACAAAAATATCTTGAAATACGAAAGAGTAAATTTATTCAATAAAATCGCCATTGGCTTCAACCACAGCCTCCAGACAACTTTGAAATCTCCTGCAACTCTTCTGGACGGTCTCCTTGTTAAAGGTGGTGAATGCTGTCATAATCCTTGCCTTCAGTTCATCTTTGAAACTGTGGATGCTCTTCATGCTGCAGTTTATGCATCCTGGGCGAACATCCCAAGCACAAACTCATGCTGAAGTTAATAATGAGTATGCCAAAGCAAATTTTTGAAGTAATTTGCAAAAATAGAGGATATATTGAGAATTGTCAATGTGGCTTATTTGTTCTGTATTTGCTATTTTTATTTAAATGCTGTTATCTTTATGACCAACCAAAAACATCCTTTTTTCAATGTTTTTTTTAAATTAATTAATTAAAAGCTTAAAATGTTCACTTGTTTGTTGATAAACTACATTTTCTTATTAAATGTAAATGCTTTACAAATATATTTTGATTAAAGTAACAGTATTTTATAATTTTTAACCCTTTTCTATCTGGTCTTCAGATTTTGACCAGGAGTGTATATATATATATATATATATATATATATATATAGATAGATAGATAGATAGATAGATAGATAGATAGATAGATTTATTCAGTAAAATTGCCATTGGCTTCAACCATGGCCTCAAGATGACTTCGGAATTTCCGGTAACTCTTCTGGTGAGTTTCCTTGTTTAAGTTGGTGAATGCTGCCATAATCCTTGCCTTCAATTTATCTTTGGTGTTAAAAGGAGTTTTTTATCTCTTGCTCAACTGCTCCCAACACATAATAATCAAAGGGAATTGCAGTCTTGGGAGTTGGGTGGCCAGATGTAAGGACTGATGTGGTCTTAGAAATTGTCTGACAGCCATGACTGGGTTCTCCTACTTATGTAGCATGGTACAGAATCCTGTTGTCAGACATAGGGCCTTCCAATACCACCCTCTTGAACCAGGCCAGCACTACCTCCTCAAGGCACTTGATGTAGGTCTCTGTGTTGAGTCTGTGGTCCTGTGGGAAGATGAATAGAAGTGTAACGTTGCCATCACTAGTGATCACTTCATACTCACCATTAGACTCGTCTAACTCTTTCTGAATCCACTGCACTATCCTCGGATTGATAACCAAATCACTCTAAAGTGTTCGTATTTGAGCTTCCGGCACGAATGCCAAGCAGTACAGCATTCTGTTTCCAAATATCTGGCAAAGTGAATTGCGTCATGGTGCTCTTTTTTTTCTTACAGACTGTGCCCAACTGACCCTACTATACTATTCACCTAACAAAATCATAAACAAACAATGCGTATGCGCGAAATTAAATATATAAAATGGCGATAATTTACCATCGCACTCTCTCTCTCTCTCTCTCTCTCTCTCTAATATATATATAATATAAAAGGCTGAAACACTGATATTCCATGGTTATAATTTATTACATTGGAATCGTAATCACGATCCAAATCATCAAACCAAAAAATTCAAAAAGAAAAGGCCTTTTACTTTTTGAATTTCTAGGTCTGATGATTTGGATTTGATTAAATATATATTCTTACTCTGTCCTGGACATTTGAGTTCTACCTGGATTCTATTCTCTTGGGAATTTATATATATATATATATATATATATATATATATATATATATATATATATATATATATATATATATATGTATGTATTATAAAGAGATAATCATACATTGAATCAATTAGCAATATTAATGCAATTAATGGTGAAATCTCTTCGCTAACAGACTTAATATAAGCATTAAACTATTAACAATCCACTGAATGATGTGATCCTTTTGTATGAAATTGTTGTCAGATGGATATTTTTTTCAGATGTGTATTTTTTTTTAGATCAGCAAGTACTTTCAAGGACTTCATATCCTCATCACCAGGCTGTAATTTTTCCTTTAAAATCAAAACTCGAAGACGAAATAAATGTGTTGTAGACCGAAAGATCGAGCAAAAGTCATTTGAAACTGAGAAAATTTGATGGATCTTTTAGAACTTTGGCCTATTTCAGTAGAACGTTTGAAACGTGTGGAAATTATTTCCATTACAATAATGGAATGTAAAAAAAGTAATGGACGACGAGGAATAGATGTTCTAAAAGTGAATACATTGAAATTAATCAATACTGTAAAATCAGAAAAAGTAAAAACGGGATTTTTAAAGGGTTATAAAGCGATCACACAATTAAATGAAAATAGTACCCCCTCCTATTCTGAATCCCGTAAATTACCTATTTACCTAACTTTAGTCGTTGCCAAGTTAAAGAAAATGGTAGAGGAGAGAATTTTGAAACATGGTCCTCCAGGTTTCAGTTGACTGCTAGTACTTCCTTGTGTGACCCTTTTATAGCGTTTTTTATGGCTTAACAGGCTCGAAAAACGACTCGAGTATAATTAGGAGAGAAGCAGTTTTATTGGTCGAAAAACAGAAAGACTTTAAAATATTATTTTATTTTTCGACCGGAACTCGTGCGTCGGGCCTATGCGTAAACGACGATCATGGTCATTTTGTGACGGGGCCTTGTCCCGTTCACATCCGGCTCTCGCTCTTGAGTATGTTAGTTTATTTGCCTGTAAATCAGCCGAGATATGTCTTATTTTATTTTATAACACTTACCAAGGTTACTATTTAGTCATTGGACGATTCCACATGCAGAGAGATTGCAAAATCCATCTGCACTAATGGGAAGACAAATAAAATCTCTATTAACAATGTCTTACTCGACAAATATAAAGATGAGAAAGCTAATTTCATCATGCAAAGAGGACATAACACGGCAATTATATCAAAGAAAGGAAAAAAATCTAATGGCTCATTCTGACCAGTTAAGACACAGAATTGAAGAGGAAGATGTTGCGATGCAAGAAGATCTTGATAAAGAAGAAAGGGTGAGTTTATATTGGATTGTGATGGTAAGACCAAATACTTCATGCCAATATTCTCCAGCGTACCAGCAGCAGAAGCATTGAGGCTCTTATCATCCAACGTCAGCTCGGGTGGATTAGTCATGTTATCAAGATGCTCGAAGATTGTCTCCCAAAGAAGGTCATATATGGGGAAGCCTCGGAAGATTATCGCTATGTTGGAGGACAGAAAAAAAAAACGTTGCAAAGACCACCAGGAAGTAATGCTAAAACAGTGAGGTATTAATCCAACTGGAAGTTAGTGCAGCCATTGGCAACAGTTGGAGGAACTTTATGTCGTCAAGCAATTGAAAAACTCGCCGAACTCAATACTATATATATATATATATATATATATATATATATATATATATATTGAATAATGAACAAAAAAAATATTAAAAAATTAAAATCTTCAGACACACTGGGTTGTATATTAATATTCCTTCGTTTTTATTATTATTATTTCATTTAGATTCCTCGACTAGTTTCGGCCAAAATGGCCATCATCAGGAGAAATATTTCTGCTTGCTGGTAGCAGTGACCTACAGAAATGAATGTCTTGATGGAGAAAATGAACTTCTGTCTTTAGTTTCATTTTTTTTTTAACACGAATTTTGGTCAGTCTTTGTGTTGGTCAAACAGTCTCTTTTAAGTTGTCATTTGAGATAAGAGCTGGATGGATTCATGCTGCTCTGAATATATATATATATATATATATATATATATATATATATAGAGAGAGAGAGAGAGAGAGAGAGAAATAGATTAGAGAGAGAAAGAAAGAAAGAGGGAGAGAGAGCTTTCGTTCCTAGTAGGAAGCAAATGTATTTTTAGTGATTTTCCTTCCAGTAGACCTTAATTTCATTATTTTTTCTTTGTTTTTTTTAACAAATATGCCTACTCAAATGTATGTACCGGCTAAATATAATACTCCATTAAATTAGTGACAGACAAGATATCGCAGCAATATTCAATGAACGTACAACTGGTAGATTTATAAATGTGTAAGATGGATTCTGACAAGGAAACATTTTTTGTCACGACACAATGAACCAACATTACTAACGGTGGATGTCGCAACTGATTCAATATAGTCACTCCACTTTATGTCAGAGGAAAACGTGATCCCAAGAATACACAAATCTTTGCTCTCCTGGAGTTTCTCATCAACCATGCTGATGGTAGATAGACAAAAATTATTGGTGGTGATTAAATGAAACCTGTCTATATTTCTGAGATGAGGCATTATGTACACTATTTACATTGCTCGGACTATCATCCTCATCTTTGTTGCCATATTTATCACAACGTTTCGGCCGTTCTAAACGTTGTGATAAATATGGCAACAAAGACGAGGATGATAGTCCGAGCAATGTAAATAGTGTAAATGAAACCTGTTTTCTTTTTGGAAGCGTTCAAATTTACAAGCCTTTTCTTGCCCCAGTTAACCATTGATTGGGGGATTTTTTCAAGAGTAATTGCCAGTTTTACTTTGTTGGAGTTGCTACTAAGACATGTGTAAATGGTTGTGTTATCTACATATATACTAGCTGGGAACAGGTGGTATTGAGAAGGTAGTTGATGAAGATCAGAAACAGCGTATGTCCAATGATAGAACCTGAGGGACCCCCGCATTAAAAGCGTTCCGGTTCAACGCAACTTTCATTAGTTAGAAACAATTGGATTAGGTCAAGTATTAGTCCAGGGACACCGTAGCTCTTGAGGTTGTGAAGAAAGCCGGCATTCCAAACCCTCTCGAGCGCCTGTTATAAATCTAGAACTCACGGCTCCAGCTCCACTGTTAATATCTAATTTTTTTTTTTAAGCATTTCAATCCTAGCAAGGCGGGAAGCCACTAGTACGCAAGGGGTTATAGAGGATTTGAAGCGAGAGCAGGTAGGAGTGATAGAGGAAAGGATGGGGAGAAGGATAGTGGATAGATCAAGCCAACTGAAGATGTCGATTGACATTACATTTGAACAGCTGGAGATTATAGCTATCAGGAAAACAGGAATAGGGAATGGAGTTTCACAGGTAAGAGGTGCGAGATATGAAGCTATTGGAGTAGAAAAAGCGACTACATTTAACAGTTTCAACAGTGAAAGGGTGAGAGTGGGATGCCAGCCTCGTAGGGCGCTTGAATTCGCGAAGTCTGGGAACCAGTGAAAGCAGCTCATCGGAACAATTACCATGAAAGCCTTTGTAAAAAAGACAGAGAGAGGCGACGGCGCGTCTGTGAGAGAGCGACTGTAGACGAGATGCCAGATCAGGGCCAATTATATTGCATATCCGTCTCTGGATCTTATCAAGAATCCAGAGTCAATCAATGACCGTTAACACATCGTAGGTAAACCCGGCTTCCGTTTGGCCAGATCTACTGATTCAAGTAGTTTTAGTCCCCATCTTCGTTATAACTTCCTCATTTTCTACATGTCGAGGCCATAATATTAACAATATCCGTTTGTAGAACCACATCTCCGTCACTTATTCATCCACAAGGAAATTGTCCAGCATTAACTGCCATACAGATAGATAGATATAAAATAGTATTTCAGTGCTTGAACTGGTCTGTTGGGTAATTCGATTAATCAATTGTTGTACGTAGTGGTTAACGGTTGCAGTGTAATTTGGCGCAGGGGAGAATATATTCATAATCCATACACGAGCCAATAGATAAATTCATCCAGTGTTCTCTATCAGGTTTTATTTATACTTACATAAGTACATATAGAAAAAGTGTCGCGCCTATTTATAGGCAAATTTACTTATCAATAAAACATTAAACATGCATATATTTATATGCGTGTCCCTCGGTGTATAAACGTTGTTATCTATCATCTCTGAAAATCTATAGGAGCTTACATGTAAATACTTTTGAATATACATATGCGCTGATCACGTAACTAATTTCTGCTTGATTTTATGTATATTAGGACCGAAATAGACTGGAGGCCAAACTAAAAAAGAGATTTGTACACGTAGATATGTGTAGGCTCTTTGACTTATTGCCATTGAAGCCTTTAGTAAGATTCAATGACTTAACAGTACACACACACTAACACACACACATTCTTTCTGTCTATCTCTCTCGGTCTTTCTCTTTATCTCTTGGTCACTCTCTCACTTTTTCTTTTCTCTTCCATGAGGGTTTCTGGCCATATTACGTTGAAACATTGGTTCTCGTTAGATCACCGGAGTTAAGCAAAGTCGAGCCTGGTCGGTACCTAGATAGGTGACCGCTGGGGAATACCAGATGGTGTAAGCTTGGATATGCACATGGTATAAAGGGCTAACAGCAATATCACATTGAAACACTGATTCTGGTTCGATAACTAAAGTTAATCAAAGTCGAGCCTGGTCAGTACCTAGATAGGTGACCAATTAGAAATACTAGGTAAGCTTGGATGTGCGGGTGGCGTAATGGATAATTTGTAATTTTTAGCCGGGAAGCCGAGTTCCAATTTCTGTTGGGCTCGTTATATTCAATTACGTGCAAATAACGTTGGGAAAGGTATGAATGGTTGACCGCTGGCGACTTTCACGTGCTGCGAGATTTGATGTGCAGATGGTATAAGAGACTAATGGCCATATAACATTGAAAAACCAATTCTTGTACGATCACCAAAGTTAAGCAACATTAAGCCAGATCAATACTTAGATGGGTGACCGCCGGGGAACACCAGGTGCTGTAAACTTGGATGTGCAGACGGCATAAGGGGCTAACGGCCATATAACTTTGAAAAAGCAATTCTTGTAAGATCACCAAAGTTAAGCAACATTAAGCCTGATCAGTGCTTAGATGGGTGACCGCCGGGGAACACCAGGTGCTGTAAATTTGAATGTGCAGACGGTATAAAGGGCTAACGGCCATATAACATTGAAAAAAGCAATTCTTGTAAGATCACCAAAGTTAAGCAACATTAAGCCTGATCAGTGCTTAGATGGGTGACCGCCGAGGAACACCAGGTGCTGTAAATTTGAATGTGCAGACGGTATAAAGGGCTAACGGCCATATAACATTGAAAAAGCAATTCTTGTAAGATCACCAAAGTTAAGCAACATTAAGCCTGATCAGTGCTTAGATGGGTGACCGCCGAGGAACACCAGGTGCTGTAAATTTGGATGTGCAGACGGTATAAAGGGCTAAAGATATTGTTAGCTTGGATGTATGGATGGTATAAAACGTTAACAGCCATATCAGATTGTAATACCATTTCTTTCATGATCACCAAAGTTAAGCAACGTTAAGCCTGGTCACTATCTAGATGGGTGACCACTGGAAACACCGGTTCTAGTACGATTATTAAAGTTAAGTAACATCGAGCCTGGTCAATACCAAGATGGGTGGACTCTGGCGAATCTCAAGTCGCGTAAGCATTAATGTGCGGATGTTATAAAGAGCTTATGCGATATTTGTTGAAACACCGGTTATGTTTCAATCACCAGAGTTAAGCAATGTCGTATTTGGTCAGCAACTAGATTAATGGATGCCAGGTGGCATAAGCTTGATGCATAGATGTTATAAACGGTTAATAACTATATAACCAGTGTTAAGCAAGCCTGGTCAGTACCTAGATAGGTGTAAACCTTGATGTACAGATGGTATAAAGACCATATCACGTTGGAAAACATGGTCTTGTTTGCTCACTAGAGTTAAGCAACGTTGAGCCTGATCAGTACGTAGATGGGTCACCACTGGGCATTACCATGTGCTGTAAACTTGAATGTGTGGGTGGTGTAATGAATTATAGCTTGGAATTGATAATTGGAGAGCTGAGTTCCAATTTCGATTGGATTTGTTATATTCAATTATGCACAAATACTGTTGGAAAACGTATGAAACCAATTCTCTTCTCCTTCCACTATGGGTTAATTAGTAAGATAATCATTATCTTCACAAAAAATTCTTACAATGTAAAAAATATTTTCTGGTGTTAAATTATCTGCAATGGGTTGATATGCCTTAGAAAATGAATGAATAAGAATTTGTTTTATGAGTGACTACGGCCATAACATGTTGAAATACCAGTTAAGCAAAGTCCAGAGTGGTCAGTATCTAGGTTGGTGATGGGAATACCAGGTGCTGTAAGCTTGGTAGAATAGCTAACAGCCATAAACACCAGTTCTGGTTCGATAACCAAAGGTAAGCAATGTCAAGACTGGTCAGTACCTAGACGGGTGACCTCTTGGGAATACCAGATATTGTAAGCTTGGATGTATGGATGGTATAAAAGGTTAACAGCCATATCACATTGAAACACCAGTTCTTGCACAATCACCAAAGTTAAGCAACGTTAAGCCTTAAGCGTTAAGATGGGTGACCACTGGAAAATACCAGGTGATGTAAGTTTGGAAGTGTGGGTAGTGTAATGGATAATATCTTAGAATTTTTAACTGGAGAGCCAAGTTCTAATTTCAGTTGGGCTCGTTGTATTCACTTACATTCAGAAAGTTATGAATCCACCTCTTCCCCCATGCTATGGGTTAATTAGTAATCCGTGTATCACAAAATCTTTATTCTCTCACTCTCTCAAAAAATTACAATCTAAAAATAAATATTTTCTAGCTTTAAATGACATGCAATGTGTTGATAATCCGTAGAAAATGAATTAATCAAAAAAGAATTCTGTCTTACATGAAGGCTTATGGTTATATGACATTAAAATAACAGTTTTCATTTGATCAACGAAGTGAAGCAACATTGAGCCTAGTCAGTACTGAGATGAGTGACCACTTGGTAATACAAGATGTTAAATAAATATACATATTATCCCTCACTGCTAGCATAACTTATTTGACAATTAAAAAATGGTTTTTATATATATATATATATATATATATATATATATATATATATATATATATATGTAAGAAAAATAAAATTTAAAAATTTAAAAAATATTTTTGAGTTGTGAATATTCATTTTTTAATTTGTAAAATTTTAATTAAAGGGAGATTACTTGTTCTTATTTAAAAAAAAACAAAAAAACAAAACAAAAACCAACATTAATTTATATTCAAATTGTAATTTACATTAAAAAAATTAAAGTTAACATCACTACCAGAATATATGCTCTCTCAGTATACAACATTATCAGTCATACATTAACCTTTAAGGGACAAATCATATTTTTTGGCAGTTGCATTTATTTTTGGAAGAATTTACATTGTATTTGTTGAAAATATATTTGTTTAATACAATGTTGTTATGATGGGAGATGACTGTGTCTATATTATTAATGGAGCTATAGCTGATCTTAACATTATTTTTATTAAAAATATTTTTAGTGTTCATCAATGGTTAAAGTGCTTATGAATTAAATTTAGGAAAATTCTTCCAATATTAGTTTGGACCTTATGGTCAAAGCATGGATTAAACCATATTGTGTTGCGTTTACAGTATTTCTGCTTATTATTACCACCTTTATTTATTTCTGTTATAGACAAGCGTACGGTTGCAAGAAAGAAATATGACAACAGCAGAAATAGATTTACGTGGTTTATTTCAGCAGGAACGAGTGGGTTTGGGACAGCTACCTTGTGGTAAAGTTCATAAGCCGGCTTCGGATCTAGGTCGATCTCTCATAGTAGTTCATACATGTTGACGGTGTTTGGTGCTCTCCTGCTGACAGCTGCTGAACGCTCTGCCTGACCGTGACAGATCTCTTTTAACGCCACCTGTTGACTCTGTTGAACTTCCGTGTGACCCATTTTATAGCGTTTTTTATGGCTTAACAGGCTCGAAAAACGAAGCGAGTATAATTAGGAGGGAAGCATTTTTATTGGACTAAAAATAGAACGCTTTAAGTATTATCTTATTTTTCGACCGGAACTCGAGTGTCGGGAACATTTGTAAATGAAGATAATGGTCATTTTGTGACGGGGTTTTGTCCCGTTCACATCCGGCTCTCGCTCTTGCGTATACGCCTGTAAATCAGCCGAGATATGTCTTATTTTATTTTATAACATTTCTAAATACTCTAAATTTATATTATGATTGTTTAGTTTTAAAGCCTTTATATATTTGATTTTAGACTTACCAAATATTTTCTTATTGCTGTAGTTGGTGGATAATCTAACTTGAACTGATTTTGTCTATAGTTCTGAGATGAGGTATTATGTACACTATTTACATTGCTTGGACTATCATTCTCATCTTTGTTGCCATATTTATCACAACATTTCAGCCATTGTATGTTCTGGCCTTCTTCAGGTTGTTGGAGCATACAACGGCTGAAACGTTGTGATAAATATGGCAAGAAAGATGAGGACAATAGTCCAAACAATGTAAATATTGAACTGATTTATATAAATTTAGAATTTTGTGGTGGTTTTTTTGATTCCTTAATAACATATCTCTGGTTATATAGATCTTTTGAGTATGGTTTACAATAACCATTATTCGGGTCAAAGTTTATACTGAGAATGTTGATCACTTTAGCATTGGTGGTGGTGATGGTAATATTTAGTTTGTGATCCTTAAAATTTTTTACTAGTTCCTTTCTTAATTAGTCTATTTTTCATGGGCTCATTTTATGGAGGAGAACAATCCCCGTCATCTGTGTAGAATCTGTCATCCTTGATGATGAAAATAAATCTAAGTCACTATAATGATAGAATTCCAACAAATTCACACACTTCCACTGAAACATAGCAATACTAAATTATGGGTTACTTCTTTTAGTCCACAGCTAACCATTATGGAATAATATAGGTTTTGTGCCTGCTTTATGATATTTATTTTGTTGTCACTAATAGGACAGTAATTTATTGTGAGGTTTATAGCCAACATTAACAGATTCTCAGTGATAGACAGGTAAATGTCAAAAATATCAATGGGATGAATGTACATTCATTCTTTTTGTGCCACTGGTTAATTCCTAGATTTTACCGATATTATATTTAGTTGGGCAAAGTAATCAGTATTGAGGGTTGTTTAGAAAATTTGCCTAATGATTTTTAACTGTGATAAATGCTTGTTGCTTGTGGAATCTGTGGATGTTATCAACAATTTTTAGTTCAGTGGCTTATTTTAATTGCCAAATATAATTTTAAAAATTAAAAACAGTAACCCCAGTATAATATACAACTACACCATCATTGTGATAACCAGATATATTAAAATTCAAATTACATAACACCCAGTCCATACTCAGCACCTGAAGATTGCCTTGTGCATGAAACACTGAGTTGTGCTAGTGGTGAACTACCTACAAATAACCACTTTTGAATTATTCCCACTCAATTGCCTGTAGAATAATTTGAAACATAACCATTACCACCTACCCAATGACCTAATAACACAACAAACCTTGCTACCCATAATGCACCATTGCCCAGAATATATAAATGGTCATGCTAAAACACAATAAAACATAGCTTCAAGATTGGGTTCAAGCATGAAACAGACTGTCACTACTTGGTCTTGACCTAAGCATCCTTTATATATATATATATATATATATATATATATATATATATTCTCACCCACACAAGACAGACATGCTTACAGAGGTATTGAGGTCTCACAACTTATACACATACCCATACTTAGTTTGCAAACATTTAATAATAGCTAATACATTTTCAGTACCCAACACCAATATCAGGATACAGCCACCTAACCTCACCTACGATACCCATAAAGTAATCTATTATTTATTCTGCAACTTATGTCCTAATAGTGGATATA